TCTTTCTTGGACCCACTACTTCCAACAGCCTGCTACGCTCTGCTACGCAGGCTATCTTCTCTCCCCAATCCAACCTCGTTCCCAGGGCGCTTTTCCCTGGCTTTGGACGAGGTTGTCCTCAATCCTCTCTCCCTCCTTTACTGCTTCCCCCGCCGACCCCCCCGCCCCGAGGGAGTGGGACTCCGCATATGAAAGGGGTGGGGATGCTCGTCAGAAATTTTGAATTCGTAAGAACGTCTGCGTGGGAGGCTAATCTGGGGGTGGCCCAAGCTTTTTTTGACCCCTAAAAGGGACCATGTTAAAACACAGACAAATGAGAAAACTTGGATTATATGAATGGACTGAATGGAGTAAATAAAACGAATTAAAAATATACATTTCATATGTATATATTTATATTTTTTCGCGTGCAACCCTAAACGAGACCTTCACGACTAAATATGATGGTGTTTTGCCCAAAACACCTTAAGTGAGACCAAAATCCGAAATTCACACCCCTAAGCGAGACGACGAGCATCCCAGCCCTTTCATATGCGGAGTCCCCCCCGGCCCCCCCGCCCCTTAAACGGCCATTGAATCTTAGAATAAGCACATGAAAACTTTTCAACATTTTTATTCAGAAAAATTTGATCCCTGATTCCTTCCAAAGGGGCTGATCGAGCTGATCGAGTCACTTTTCTTGTCACACAACCGAGGAAATGATCGCGTGACTAACTTGAAGAACATTTGGCGGGAAATTCATCGGGCAAGCACGGCCTTGATCGTGTGACGTCACCAGTACAAAATGGCGGCTGCAAAGGTAAGAATGTAATCGATCGAAGCATTTTGAAACCAAAATGATTGAATTTAGCGAGGTTGCAAATTAATGATCTTTCACCTTAAAAGTCAGTTATCTATCTGAGGTAACATGTTTCGAAATGACGAACGAAATTGCTGTCAAAATCAATGAAACGTTGTAACTAATGTGAAGTTGACTGTGGGGTATTTCAACGATGATCTAAATCCCGTAAAAATCAATTCTAAAAAATGACGTTGAGTTTCTATTCAAGAGTTGAAAGCTTCATTTAGCTTAGCAAGCTTTCCTTCTCACGTTTTCGTTGGTATATCATGATCGATGCTTGGGTTAAAAAGTATTACAATAAAGGATTTTTTTATTTTGGGCGCCAACGTATTGCTGAGAAGTGAAGGAGTTAGGGGCTACTTGCAACTTCGAGCATTAAATTTCTTTTATTTGAAACAAAGGAGAAAAAGCTGGGGTATATAGATCAAATATAAAACTGCAAGGTGAGAAAAGAGACAATGGGTCAGTCAAAAGGTTGACATGTTTCCCGGGACAAGTCTATTTGAGAAGAGCTTCCTTTCTGTACTACCCCTATTTGTAACAAAGTGACATCACCAGTTGTACACCATTCCTATAGGTGCAAAGCATTAGAAGGTGTTTGCTGGATATTGAGGTTGTTTACCATTTACATGGGCAAACCACGGCTTTGACAAATGGTAAACAAAATTCAGGACTCATGGGAAATTTCATTTTTTTGAATTGTGTTGACATTTGTACCATTTGCACGAATCAGTTCCTTTACCCAAAACATGGCTGCGAAAGTCTGAAACACTGGTATCAAAGATGGGTTTTAACAAATAGAACACCAATTCCTAATTGGAACCTTCCGTCTGGAAAAACAGGACTACGTCTCTAGATGTTCCGTTGCTCCAAAAAATTTTCCACTGGAATGACACGAAAAGCTATGTGACATATTTCACTTTTCAACTAGATTTTTTGGAAAATTTTTGTAAATGGTGAATAACCTCAGACTCCTCGCCCTTCCAGTCTTCCCCTGCTGCTAAATCAATGTGACGTGTTGTTTACAAGTATTTTTTTTTGTTTATGTGTGTTGTTTACACAGGATGCTGTTGTTATTATTCTTGATGTAAGTCCTTCAATGTGCCAAGCGGCACCTGGTCATGCTACTTCCCTGGAGACATCTGTGAAGGCCATCAACATGATCCTACAGAGGAAGGTTAGAAAGTTCTGTTTAACAAGCCCTCGAGCTCCTGGCCATATTTTGATTTGATTAAAGTAATCACCCAAAACAGGGCTCAAAAATAATGGTCAGTCAAGCAACAATGTCTGACCAAGATGACCATTTGTCACTTTACTGGCCATGTAAATAAGTGCCAAAAGAAAAACACATTTCACACCATTAAGTTTTAAGAGGACAAGCTTTTTTTTCACTGTATGTTTTTGCTTGTTAGGATTGCATTAACTTTTTGACCAGTCCGGAGAGAGATGTGACCGAGCTCAAATTTCTTTGGTGCGTTGACACGACCAACAACAGTCCCAAATTCATTTTGAGCCTTAAAAAATGTTATTAGTGGTTATGTTCATCACTCTTCTGATTCAGGTTTTTGGGTTTAAAATATTTTTGTAAAAGGTTGAGAGGCTTGGGCTTAAATGTTTACTTAAATAGGATCATTACATTTGTAATTTTCTAATTCAATTTTTAACCAGGTTATTTTTATTATGATTTATGATATTGAGACTGCCCTTACAAATTTAATTGTGCACTGTTTTTCTTTAGATGTTTGCAAACACAAAGGATGAATTTGCTCTAGTCCTCTTTGGTACTGAAGGTATGCAGCATAATAATCATACAACTTTTATAGTTTCTCACCCATTAAGAGTCGAATTTTTTAGCCAGAGTTTTTACTCCTCCTTCACAGTTTCATAATTTACTTCATTTCTCTCCTGTCCTCCCATTCCCTACCATTTAACAGGCTACCCTCCCCCACGCCTTGTGAGGTTCTAATAAGTGGTTATGTGGAAGTGCCTGTAAGTTTAAAAAACATGCCTGTGAAACTCTTTCCAAAAATAAACCCAAACATTTTTTAAGAGCATATTAAACTCTCCTTGATAGTAAACCCTAGAAATTGCAAATATGTCCTTTCAAAAATCAGATATATGCTGTTTGGGATTTGTCAGCTTCTCTCATTCTTTATTTTGTTAGGAACATCAAATAGCTTAAATGACAAGATGAAAGCTGGCTATGAGAATATCACTGTTGCTCGCCATCTTGGCTTACCAGACTTGGAAATGCTTCAGTTTATTCACAGTCAGATCACACCAGGTAGGCTGCTCAGCTGAGGCCAGTCAATAAATAAAATCAGTGATCTGAAAGTATGTGTAAAAGCAATTTTACTGTCACACCAGTAAAATCTGGTTAATGGAATGTGAAGCTACAATGAAGGACAAAAGTGTTGAGACACTTCCGTAAAATGGCCCCTTTTTGCATCGTGAACATACCTATTCCCTTCCCCTGTCTACCCCAACCCCCTCCCCCCAAAATCAATGTTGTATGTTGGACCTTTAAGTCTTTCTTTTACTTCAGACAACGTTCATTCGGGGGGTGAGGGGGTTTACGGCGTTTAAAAGGAATGAAATAATAAATGAATTAAATGTTTGATAAAAGCACCCATTTTGAACAAGTGTGTCAACTACTTTTGTCCCTGATTGTAGTCATCGGTAACACTTTTATGGTGGTCTTTTTGTCTTTTTGTATATTGTGTAGTCAAGTTGCCAAGGTCAGCAAGCTCTAACATACATTGTATTCTAGCTTAGAACTTTAGACAGCCTTGTTGTCTTTAACAGGCTAGTACAATCCACAGCATTGGCCAATTTTTTCAACGCACTATTCATGGCTAAGAGTTTGCACGTGCAACGCTGAGCTGTCTTGTAGTACAGCCTTTTCTGTCTTGGTCCATAAATACACAAAAAGAAGCTGTCTCGATCTCACACTTGGTCAGTAATGCAAATAAATTATGTTGTTAATATGTATTAATAAGTATTAATATTATTTAATTACAGGCAATGTTGAAACAGACTGTATCCTTTGACTATAAGACTATAAGACTATAGGAGTGTTAACAGAAACCTAACAAAAATGTGCCTGTTTTGGAGAAAACCAGGAAAAAAAGTGGCCCAGTCTCACATTTATACTCAGTTAATTGTGTATTTGGCAATAAGAAATGGGGTGTAGAGTGAAGCCACAAGTGACAAAATAATAATATTCTCTTATATGCTTGCAAATCAAAGGCAGAATTTAAATTTGACATAAAATCTGGTGGCACTGGGATTCTTCTGTGCACCTGTTCTTATCCACTTGGTATTAAAACATGATTCTGACTTTTGAGAATGTAAAGAAAGTTGTGTCTGATAGCCTGGGACTAGTGGATTTTGGGATTGGGCAAGTGAATTCTGTTCTTATAACTTGCCTGATGGGCAAGTGACATTTTTTGGGGGGAATTCATTACAGAAGTACAGAAAGACAAATGGTTGAAATTTCTAATAAATTCATGTGGATCGAAACCTGTTTTCTAAGCTGATTTAACATTAAATTTATAAATTATGCTAAAAATTAAATAATTTAAGGTGCAATAATAAATGGCGAGTAATTATTTATCTTGCTCATCAAAATTTTTCAGGCCTGTTAAAATGACTCTTGTGCTAGTACATACTTTGCTCCCTCTCCGTTCCTTAACTGATCTTAAGTTATTGATGCTATTGTTGTTGGCATGGACTTGTTACGTGAAGAGGCAAAGTGAGACAACTTAACTATATCTGTTACATTCAAACTAATACAGTCAACTCTCGCCTTGTGGACATCCCACTGTAATGGACACCCCGATAATATGGATGGCTGCTAAATCCCAGACAAAAATGAATGGAAGATGTTTGACTTAAATAAACTCTCACTATTAGGACACTAGCTTTACAGCGGTTCCTACAGTGTTGGCTATGAAGAGAGTTGACTGGAGTTTCCCTAATTTTATTCTCAGAGTTTGGTAAAGTAATTTCATTTTTTCAAACAGAATTTTAGTCATGTGTAATAATAATATTATTTTATATTATTTTGACAATGGACTTGAGTAAGTTATAATACCATCTCTATCTATTAGATTATTTTTTATCTCCCACCCAACTATCCACCCATTTATATATTTTAATATCTATTTGAATTAATTGATTTATTTCAGTGTCAAGTATGATAAAAAGATTTATTTATTTTCTGATCTGGGATCTCCCTTTGGTAATGACCAGCTGGAGACAATCACTAACGGTTTAAAGAGCCTGGAGATTCACCTTACATTAATGTGAGTAGTTTACCTCAATCTGGTAATAATAAAAAAATAATATTATAAGTATGAGAAATTTTATGCATACAGTGTAACTGGTTTGTTGAATAAATCTGGCTGTGTACATACAGGGTTGTCAAAAGTAGCCGGCTGCTGGCGAAAATTGCCGGCTACTTGGTTAGTATCGGCAGGCTACTCTGCTTAGCATTTCTTTACAGATGGTGTTTTTTAAACTGGCTGTTTACTTTGACGACTCAGCCATCTACTTCAAAATTCTCTGACAACCCTGGTACATACAACAGTCTATATTGAAAAATTCTAGGAAACATAATTTTATGATGCATGTTATAATGCATGGATTGTTTTGGTATCATAATATGGCAATGTGCTCTTTCCATATTAAACAGTGGACCAGATCTTTATGATGACAGTACGTCAGACACTGCTGGTGGAAGTGAGGGTGATGATAGTGGTCCTACAACTTCTGGTGGACTTCTCAGAAAGGAGAAGACACCACAACAGGTTATCGTGTTTTCTAATTAATTTGAAGAAAAAAATGATATTTCTGAACCTGAAAGGGAATGGACATTAAAACTGTATGAATGCATATTAAGATCCTTTCATTGATTGCTGGTTGTTCCTTATTCAAATGATTTGTGCTATGCTCTGAACAGATTCTTATGAGTGTTATAGTGTCCATTTTGCCATTCATGGTTATATGGCATTCTTGTTATTCCCATTATCGACAATATCTGCTGTAAACGTAATAATCGTCACCACCCAAAAGAGAGGTGGTTGATTAGACCAGGTGTACAAAGTCATGTAGTGGTAAATACGCGCTTTCTGGCCATAAATCCACATAAGTATTATTTTTATATCCAGTAAAGATTCAAATGTGATTACTTTTAAAGACAAAATTGTTTATTTTTGTAGGTAGCAGGAGAGAACTGTATGAGGCAGTTGTTAGAGACCTTAGATGGAGAGACTTATTCCCTCAGGTGATTATTTGTAACCAAGGTGATTAATGTTGTATGAAATAACGTGCACAAAAGCCAATTCTCAACATTAGTATGACAATACCTGTGAAGAAGAGCAGACAGCTAGCACAACAATATGTAGGTGACATATGAACATACTGTTGACAAGTCAGACTAAGTTTATATATACAGTGTGCATGAATGTTTTGCTTCGATTTTATCTTTGGTTTAACATTTATTTTCCTTTGTTTCAAGCTCATTATTATACAAATTACTGAAAAAGTAAAATTAAACCACGGATAAAACTGAACCACAACACACATCTTGCTTTCCAATTTACCAGTTCATATTGATTTTGTTGGGGGGACATGGTGCATATGACCTGTGCTGTGACTAAATTTTGCTCCAGTCCACTTCAGCAATCATTGGTTGCCAGTATGTCAGACATGGGAAGCTGTCACTTCATAATTTGCTCCCAGAATACTAGCAGCAGAAATGGTACCTAAAAAGTAAGAGTGTGCGCCCAATGGGGATGGGGAGGGTGGGAAAATATTCAATTTGGACTTCACCCTTTGGACACAAACAGTACTGGAAAGCAGGAATCATCATCAATAACAAACTACTAGTCCACGTACTGCTCATTATTATATTGCAGGATACATTTTTTTTCACTTTTTAGTCATGTCCTTCCAATGCTGAGTTTTTTCCAGACCAGATCAGTCAAACAAACCACAGTATTCAGAGGACCACTGGAGATTGGTTCCCAGTTAAAAATAAATGTCTATGGTTATATCAGGGTATGTTGCAGTCTTTTAAGATTGCTTAAAATACTGTATGCTGTACTTTATGAATTTAATACATTTTTAATGCCAATGACAAGTAACTGGACCTGACAATGCTTACTATAAATTATTAGCAAAACTCTCGAAGAATGTTGAAAGACTAGAGGAAATGGAAATTAGCAACAACAATATTGTTATGTTATTGCAACACAAGAGGACATTACAAGAAGGAAAATATGATTTTTAGTGAAGTGGAGTGAAAGGGAGTATTTTGTGATAAAGTGGAACCTTTAGAACAAAGGATATAAAGGGAAAAAAACTCTTCCATAGTGAGATAGAACCTCCTATTCCATCACCACTGAGGGAAAGGAAATAAAGTTTTGGCACATGGTACGTATGCCCCCTGGCAACACCCAACTGTGTGGGGTAATTTATAACATGGTTACTTGTGTCAAATACATCATTCCATAGAGATATCAAAGGGAGTGGTCTTCAACAGAGATTTACAGAGCTATGTCTCAGTGTAATGAAAATGGTTATCTAACAGTGCTTTTTTTTACTAAGGTAAAGGAAGAAAAACTAGCAACATGGAAAAAGCTCTCAGCCGTATCTCAAATGTCTGCAAACCCTGAGACCATGGAGGTACAGATGCAGAGGTCATATCATTTGAATGATGAGGATGACACAGAGGTGGACAAGGAAAATGTTGCACAAGGTAGACACTTAATGTACATGATTGTATTCAGTACTTAAGTAGGTCATCAGTCACTCAATCAGTCAGTTAATTATTCAGTCAGTCTGTTGGCCTGGGCTGTGTTGCTCAAAGCATGGTTAGCGTTAACCATTGGTTAAGCAGTATCAAAACCAATACGTTGTCATGGTATTAAATGCTGGTTAACGCTAACCATACTTCAAGCAACTGGGCCCTGTTCGTTACGCGACAGTCAGTTTAGACAGGCTGTCAGTAATGCAGCCAGACAGTCATTAACCATGTCTGTCAGTTACTCTGTTGTGCAGTCAGTAACTTAGTTGGACAGTCGGTCACTCAGTCAGTAACTAGGTCAGTCAGTTAGCTGGGCAGTCAGTAACAGGGTCAGTTGTAGTTGGTCAGACGGTAACAGTGTTTGAAAAATTAATAATATGCACTAGATGATGATGCACTAATGTTCAAGGCCTTCTCTAGGTTATCGCTACGGTAAAACACTGGTTCCATTAACAAGGATTGACAAGGACAGTATGAAACTTCCCACAGAACGATGTCTGTCAGTGCTTTGTTTTACTTCAAATGAAAATGTAAGCGATAAAATCATGATTATGACCTAGCAGAAAGTTCTTTAGTAACTAACATTTTGATCCCCCCTCCCCCCATTGTTGTTGTTATTTTCTTCAAGACAATGTCAATTAAACAATCAATTCTTTTTTCATTAGAGCCGGTTTTTGTGATATCTGGAATGGTCAAGGTCATAGATAAGTTGGCCTGAATGACACTAGCCTGCGAGCAAGCTCTCCTATTTGGGCAAGCGATACGAGCCTCGCGAGAACGCGCGAGAGAGGGGCCGAGGAAAGGAGAGCTTGCAACGATCTCTTATAAATTTTCATTTCCACCCCGGAAACCCCGGGACTCCGTAAAGCGTGAAAACTGTCACCGCAAACGTGCCGCAGATTAGAAAACTGACAACCACCTGTCAAGTAAATTTAGACAGCCGAGGGCCCGTAGAATTATTTATTTATAAATCGCTTTCGCAACAGCATCAAGGCAATGTTTTTAATCACTGATATGTTCTTTTTTTTCACGGGGACATCGAACTTCAACGTGTCCGCTCGGATAAGAACTCACTTCTTTGATTCTCGTTTCGTTTACTTTTGAAAAGTCGTCCATACTGCAGTGTAGAAGACTACTCCCCATCGCAATCACCAACAAAAACATCATATATTTGTCCGTCTGGACTTGCTTCTCTTAAGGTTTACTTCAGTTGCTTCCACCTCTTTCTCTTTTCCTTCTTTACGGTCAAGCTCCACAGCTACACTGTCAAGTACATGTTTCTGAATTTTTGTACCCAGCAGAATTCAATCGGGCGAAGAAACCGATGTTGGAAGACAGCGCTTTAATCACTCTTCACTTTCACTCTCCCGGTTTTCAGAACTAAACAAGGCGCTTGACACAAATGAATACAACTGATGAAAGGTTTTCATTGTCCTTCCACAAGAACTACAAACTCGGTCCGGCTTATCCTCTTTGCGAGAATTACATCAAACGAGCCCGTCTGCATTGAGGGCTGAAACAAGTTCGCGGTACCAATCTGATCCCCATGAGAACCAAATTTTACACACAGACGAAGCAGGTGCCAGCTTGGCCTGTTAACAATCAACTTTGATTTCCGGAATGTCATTTTTCAGCCAATGGTATTTCCCTTCGTTTGGGCGAAGTACAAATGAAAATTTGTAAGGGATGGTTGCAAGCTCTCCTTTCCTCTGCCCCTCGCGGCTTCGCCGCTCGCTCGCGCGTTCTCGCGAGACCTGTTTCACTCACCCAAACAGGAGAGCTTGCTCGCAGGCTAGAATGACACTTACCTCAACCTTGATTGTTCCGATATCACAATAACCTCATCCACAGCACTTGTTAAATTTTCATGCCTCAAGTGTGGTGCTTATTTGCGGGCAGTGCTTGTTAACTTTTTTGTCCCAAATATGGTGCTTTTTCAAGGGTGGCACTTAATCAGGGGCGGTGCTTATTCAAGTAAATACTGTAGTTATCATTTATCAAAACATAGTTAAGCCCAGTATCTGTGGTTATAGACAATAGTAAACATGCATAGTCATAATTATTAATTTGTACCACAGGTACAGAGATACCAATACTCAGGAGAGAATGTTGTAGCCTTCGTTCCACAGCCTGGTGACCAGGTATTGTTGTGTTTATATACCAGTAATGGACAATGAGCTGAGATGCCCTCTTGAACGGCACCATCAGGAGGCATAGGTTTGCATGTCACTTGCCTAAATTATTTTTAATGTCTTCTGTCGCTGTTTGATTTTTACCAATTCATTTTCTTTTTTTGTTTCAACTAAAGAAAAACTGAAGAAAAACTTTGTTTCACAATCATCCTTGTTTTAGTGGCTACTTTCCGTGCCATTTTTACTTTTGCAGCTGTTTCTCTCTGTTTTGATCATCAGGTGCTTTATTTTTCTATAGTTTTCATTTTTTGGTGGTGTCCATGATGATCATGCATATTCCGGCGAGAGAAAGTCTTTGTATATTAGTGCTTTTCCGCCTTATCTGACTGTTTGAAAGCATGAATTGAGTTCAGGTTTTGAATTACAAACCTTCATAAGCTTTGGAGACCACCCTCTCTGTTTTCCTTAATTAAATTCCATCATTGATGAATATAGATTAAAAAAATAGTTACTTTAATTTAATTATTTTTAGCATGCTGCAGTTGCGCTGTCAGCATTCATAAATGGCATGTATGAATTAAACACGGTGGCTATTGTGCGATACTGCAGAGCCAAAAATGCCCCACCCAAGCTTGGCTTCCTGGCTCCTCACATTAAACAAGACTATGAGGTAACAATAATTATTAAGATTATTGTACTTAAATTTCATTTCAAAAGTTAGAAATGAATGAAATAGTGACGTCAGGTCTTATTATGCATAATCGTATGTCAGTGAAATCCCATTGTTTGCATTAAGACTTGAATAATAAGATGTTTATAAACACATTTTAAAATAAATGAAAAAATATATATATGCACTTTATATGAGCGCCAATGTATTTAGCATGAAAGTATAAAATTAATATTGGAGACACTATTCTTTATGTCTCCAACAAGAGACGGGACCAACATTTTACTTGGAGCAGGAGCAGTTTGGTGTTTCAGTACTTGCCACACTCTAACTGTTTTATTTTTTTATCCACAGTGTCTTCTGTTCACTGCACTGCCATTTGCAGAGGACCTGCGTCAATTTTCCTTTGCTCCTCTTGATGCTAACAAGAAATGGAAGCCAACTGGTAATTTATACAATCTATGCTTAAATTTAATTGCAATAATATTAAATTAGATCCTCAGAGAGTATTTTTGATGCATGGTTTAAATGAAAGCTACATTTTTTTTGTAAAAGAAATAATAGGCAATTATTCTAAATTGTATAATATTTTCAGAAATTCAGATGTTACATGTACGTAACAACTTGTGTAATAATTTATGGTGTTGTTTAAATCACTATGAAAAGTAAATGGCTTTTCCAAGAATAAAATGTGTTCTGCCTCAAACAACTAACTTCAAAAGGTTTTTTTGCAGGAGAACAAGAAGATGCTATTGATAATCTCATCACAGTAATGGATTTAACAAATGCACAGTTGTAGGTGACTCTTTATGGTATTTGTTGTTTGTCTCTCTTAGTAACGTAATAATATAAAAAAAAAATTATTTTTCTTTATCTGACAGTGGTGAAGACGGACAGACCACAGAGGCATTAAAATGCAAAAATACCTTTAATCCAGTGCGACAGAGAGTTTTCCAGGTATGTAGATAGTACGTTTAAATTCAAATTACTTAATTTTAGTCATGCAGTCAAAAATGCTTGAATTGAAAGTAACAGTGGTATTCTAATGGTATTATATTGAATACTTTCAGTGTATTCAGCACCGTGCTCTTAATCCAGATGACACATCTTTGCCTGATTTAGAGCCAGTTATTGCGAGGTGAGAACGCTTAGGGAGCAGAAAAAAAAATCAGCATCATTCTTAACTACTACTTTTTCTCATTTCTGAGAAGTATTATTCAAAGCAACTTCTTTCTATAATCAAAATAATAATTAGTTAATTATCATCAATTAACAAATTATTGCAGTGGAACCCTGGTAATGCAACCACTGTTGGGCCATAATCCAACCTCGACCCATAAAATCCCAGTCCTAATAACGAGGTGGTTGTATTAGCGGGGTCTTCAAATAATAAAATGACACTGTGATTTTCACATTTGGGTCAAGAGAATATGGTTGTAATAACTAGGTGGTCGTATAAACAGGGTGGTCATAAGGTGGGTTTCCACTGTATTTATTGATCCTCTATAATTCATCTTTAGATGTGCTGGAAGTACAATGAACTTTGAACTTTGAATTTCTAGTTATTTAGAGCCCAGTGGAGAATTCAAAGCAAGATGTGTCCCACAGTGTACAAAAGTCAAGGTATTAAAAAGGCTGATGAATGAGTGCAATCCAACACTAGTTACTCAAACCTCAATTTAGTAATTTGAATTCTTGATTACAGTGAAACCTTGATATTAGAGACCTTTAGATTCAAGGACGAGAACAACTACGAGTACGAGATTTGACTTCAAGTTTTTTCGCGTATTCTCAAAATATAGACTCCCCGGAAAGCTTCATTTTACCATTTTTCACTAGAAAAGTTAGCACTGTTACCTTTAGTGGAGGAGGTTGCACCCTCTCTTGATTGCAAAATGATAAAACTTCTAACATTTGATAACTTGTTTCCGCAACTTCGACATTCTCGCTAAAACTCGTAGTAGAGTGACGACGGCTACCACGTTTTCCCGCCAAAATGACGCTGGTTCACGCGGGTGCACTACTTAGTATTGAGAAAATCTCGTACTCGTAGTCATACTCGTCTTAGAATCTAAAGGTCTCTATTAAACTCAAACTTGAATAACTCGAATTCCCTGCTAACTCAAACTAAATTTCCTTTCCTTTGATCAAAATTTCACTGAAACTTACCCCGATAACTGGAATTCCCAGCTAATTCGAACTGTTTCTCATTTCCCTCCAGATGTCGAGTTACTGGGATTCTACTGTATCTACTGTTGTTTTTCATGTCTGAAATTGTTTGGTATTCCTTCACAGTGTAGTTAAGTTGCTGTAATTCAGGGTGCAAAGAAAATCATTTTTACAGCTTGCCATTCGGGTAAGCTGAAGCTAACATTTTACTGGCCCAAACATCATTTCAACTAGCCCCAAAAACGTTTTGATGAGCAGATTGATTTCACAGTTCTTCTGTAATTTGAATTCCTCAAAAAACTGCACTTGCCTTTCAGGCCAGTTAATAACAGAATTCACTGGCCCGATAGCAAAATCCACTAGCACCGGGCTATGGGACACTACTTTCTTTGCTTGCTGCTGTAATTGAATAACCAGTATTTTTAAGTGCACCAATATTCTGGATAGCTGGTTAATAACTAACTAACTACTAAAATCAGTTTTAGTGCTTTAGTGATACTGTATTAATGTTTATTGATAACATTTTTTTTCAGGATATGTTCCATCTAGAAAAAGTTGAGAAGAAAAAAGAAACCACAGCTGAAAATGTCTTCAGATCCATGTAATTGTTCTATTAATTTTTCCACTGTTCCATTGCCTGTTTTGTAGTCAAATACTTAAATTAATGATTTTATTCATTTACTTAACTTCAGTAGAGACGTTGAGCAGAATGGGGAACCTTCAACAAGCACAACAGATGACCATGATGAAACTGATTTTAGTATGGCAAGCTTGGCAAAGGGAGAGGTTACACAGGTAAAGTCGACACTTGGCACTATGTTGAATTTTTCCATCTCCTTTTATTTAAAACAAATTGATATTTTATTATGTAATTTGCAGTACTGTAGACCTTTCCTACATTCCTGTAAACAAAAACACCAACTTGAGGTTTAGGGTTTAATACAAAAATACAGATGAGTTTCTACAAAAGACATCATTCTTTATTTATGACACACATGATGCTTTTGACTTTGCTGATCCCACTGGTACTCAGGATGCACATCATACATGAACGTTTTATGTGGCCTACAATCTTGGACAAAACTGTTGAGAAAATTGCATACTTGGGGGGCATTTTTTCTAAACTTCGTAGCTGACCGATTCTTCCCTCCCCCCCTCCCCCTGAAAGCAGTGTTGTTGGGTCTTCAAAAGAAAGCCGGATCTCTAAGCATTTGTAGGAAGCAACTCTGAACTGGAGGAGGGAGTTTTCTTTACGCAAAGCAGTTGATTTGGAAATAGTTTTGTTGCGTTAGGTAGTGCACATTAATGAAAACATTTCTCAAGTAGTTTTTTTCCAGGATTGTAGCTTGCCGCAAGTCCTTTGTAGCTCAGTGGTTAACGCATGTGACCGGTGTGTGGAAGGTCATAGGTTCAATTCTTGCCAGGGACTCAGATTTTTTCTTTGTCTTATGCTCGTGATGTGATGAACACATTTTTTATTTCTTCTCTGAGCTTAAAATTTACCATCATTCTTTATTTATTGCAGACAAGTGATTTGCATAAAATTGTCACCTCAAGCCTTGACCTTATTTCTTTGAGTAGAGTGTGGCTAAAGGTCATAGCTGTTGCTTCTGCATCATAGGATGTTTTTAAGTGGTTGTGCAGTGTCGGCTCATTTGATTTTTTCAGTATATACCACTCATTTTCAGGTTGGTACAGTTGATCCCGTTGGAGATTTTCGAGCCATTATTAGTCGAAGGGATGAGGATAAGTTTGATGAAGGTGAGTGTCCTGTGAAAACCGAGGATGTTTTCAAAACTTTATAAGCTGCTTGAATTTTCATGTTAAACCATTTTATTTGTTTTTATTTGAAACTAACAGCTGCCAAACAGATGAGAGAACGGATTGTGCAGTTGGTGCTAGATTCCTTCGGAGATCAATTGTATGGCAAAGCATTGGACTGTGTAAAGGCTTTGAGAGTAGAGGCTATCAAGGTAGAGATACCACCTGGATACCCACATGACTGTCTTTTGAACCAATGTGATGGCATTATAGTTAATTTTGTCTTAATTGTTTCAATTTTGTCTAAAGTTAGCAGAAACACTTTTGGAGTGCTGTATAACTCATGCCTTTGGCTAAATTTTTATTGCAGGCTGGTGAATCGGCCATGTTAAACATGTTTCTTCAAGAATTTAAAGAGAAGATAATTAACCAAAGGGGGCATGAATTTTGGCTTCTGTTGGTCAAAGGTAGGCACTGCAATTTGTAGAAGGGTATGACTAAACAGTGAGTAACAATTTTATACATTTAATGAGCAATGATTTTATAATCAAATAGTGAAATATTTTTTAGTTCATGGTGTAGCAAATCTAGTTGTCAGCAGTGCGGATGTTTTTTGAAGTAGCTGTTGGTTGGTACTCTGCATGTCTGCTTAAAATGAAAATGTTAAAAATCAAGGTGTTGTAATAAAAGTTAGCGTGCTGAGTGGCTTTGGTGAAAATTGCATGATTTTACACTGTATACATTAGGGCCATTTATACGAGGAAAAATAAGACGCGTCTTAAATAAGACGCGAACTGTACCATTTATACGAGCATGTCTTATCTAATAAGACGCATCTTAGCTAAGCCGCTTCTTATTTTAGACGAAATGTGCCATTTATACGGAAAGTTCGCGTCTTATTTTTCCTCGTATAAATGGCCCTATTGTTACTGAAAAATGGATACAATTATCCTGGTCAGGGCCAGCTGTCACTGAGGGCCGGGGGGATGGGGATTTCCCCTCTAGAGGTATGAGCATGGCCCCGCCCCGGGCTATTTTCACAGGAAACCATAGGAAATAGAACCAAAAGATATTCCTAGCCATCCATCTCCCTGTCTACTAATAATACATGTACCTGGAAAGCTGAAATTGTAGTGACAGGCCTGCCCTGGTGTATGGTATTGGTTTTACATAGATAAAAATCTACAAAGGTGTACTGTATTAATTTTTATTTTGGCAGAAAAAGTAACTTTGATCACTCAAACTGAAGCCGCTGATAGTAATGCTACTGATGATCAAGCTAAAGAAGTAAGCTTCTTTGTCTTTGAGGAGAAATAATAATACATGTACTGTCTTCAGTTATCATGAAATACAGTATCTTATCTTTTAACTGTTTAAAAAAGAAGAGAAAAATGTGAATTTATGACAATGTCTTTCTCCTAAAAGGGTGTTATACTGAGTTTTAGAATGATAAATAATTCTAAAATGGTTGTTTTTTTAATGTTTTATTTTAGTTTCTAGAAGATGGGGGAGGTCAGAAAGAAGAAGCCCCAGTTGATGATATGTTGGAGGATGCTGATGATTTAGTAAGTGTTCTTATTTCATGTCCAGTTACTCTGCTACACTCAACTCACCCCGGTGGACACCTCCTGTAAGCAGACACGGAGACAAGCTGCTACCCCCTGCCCAACCACACATGGCATTTTAAAACTCTCCATGTTCACTAGATGCTTTCTCTAGTCCCAAGACTGTCGACTGTACAACTTTGAGGAAAATGCGACAGAAAAGATATGAGAACAGTTCAATAGCTTATGATCAAAGTTAGGATTTGTATGGGGTCTTCAGAGCATAACAGTGCTTATATCTCCCCTCCAAACAGGCTGATTTTAAGCAAGTGGGCATTTTTTTTATCATGTTCTCTCTGAATATGCCAACCTATCCTGTAATTTTACAAATTTAGTTTTTGCGACATTATCATTTCTTTTCTCTATTACAGTTGAAAATAGTAATGCCAGCCAGCAGAAAAATAAAATATAATAACCCTGCATGCATTTTCCCAACCCACGGTGAATTTTCCTCGGATCCTCCTTCCTGTATTTCTCATCTGTTTCATTTTTTTTTAACTTCAGTTCATGTTCTCTTTATTACAGTTGGAAATGATGGAATAGTTCTGCAGGTTCTTAGGCTGTGCTCAGAACATCTCATCAGTGGTTACATAACCATCATTGCAACTCAACCTTCCATTCAACGGCACTGCAAGTTAGTAAACAGAAGATCAGAGCAGATTAACTCCTGTTGTTTTGGAACAATTTCAAGAACATTAAATATGCTGGATGCCCTGTTGCTTAGCAACCCCTTCTGGTTGTTTGCATTCACCAACCTGAATTTTCTGGTAGAAAGGATACCAGTATCACGAAAAGAAAAGAAAAAACCATCAAACGACATTCACTATGGTTAAAAAGACTTTGCATTTGATAATAACTAGTTACTATAGTTTTCAGAAAATTGACTCATGGCTACAAAGTATTTACATTTGAAAACAATCAAATTCACCAACATGAAAAACTCAGTTATATCAAAAGAAATGTTAAAATTAATAAGGATTGTATTTAAATTTTATTTGTTAGTAAGAAGGTTTCCTGGACAGGTGGCACGTCTTATCTTTGCTCCTAAATGGCAGAGAATAACAAGTTTTTTTTCACACAGAAACAGGAATTTGATTAACTGACTGTTACTGTGTATTTCATTTGGCCATACACGATTATAGCAGGACTGTCTCAGCTACATTGCAATAGTAGACTGTACCCCAGCTTTAAGTTGCTGTCTTTTGAAGCTCCTGACACTTTCTTTGGCATATAAAGACACTGTATTTTAATAGTATCAACTGAAAGTTAATAAATAATAATGTTTTCATCCTTGTGTCATTAGAGGTCTTCATGCACAGCGAGTTTCTTATCCAGTTTTGCACCATTTTCAGTCTTAGCTTGCGGCCCATGAGGAACATCAACAAGTCGTGCTAGTGCCTTTAAAGTTTCCCTTGGGATATTTAATATATCTTCTTTTGTGACAAATCCCTTGTGTTTCTTATCCAAGTATTTTTCAAAAGTTACTCTTGGGTCTTCTTTGATATTATCATCATGGTATTCATATGGTTGTTCCTCGTAATCTCCCCAGAACTCTAAAAACGCCTCCTTAGTTAAGTTTTCTTCATTTCTTTCTTTTATGGTAGCTAGAAGACTGTGCCTCATTACTTCTACATTCATGTACCCCATCTCAATATATGCATCCCCCTTTTGGTATGTCCAGTGCACTTCGACGTCACTGAGGGGTGTGTAATTTAATGTCTCATTACAACCCTCAGGTTTAAAGGGTGTGTCCAAAAGAGGACCAGAGGTGAAAAGAATTGTGGCTGATATTGTTCTCTTGTATGATCTGACCTGGTGGATGTATTCTGTTGAGAAAACAAAGCCATGTTTTCATTTGTTTGTCTGCCTTGAACTAAAAATCCCAACTGGCGGGAGATAAGCCAGTGGGCTATTTTCCATCAGTGCAGAGGGGTGGGGCAGGGAGGCTTTAAAGACCCATTACCAAAATTCATAATATTGATGCTGACGAGAATAAAACAAAAGAAATTAATTGTTTACCTCTGCATCTCCGTTCACTTTCTTTTGTTTTATACCTCGGCTCAGACTCAGAACCAAGTATTAATGTTAACAATTCTTTAGAACAGGCCGATTCTTAAAGTATCACTGGATTGCGGGGGAACAAAGTTTTATTATATGAGTTGATTAAGTAAATTTTCCATTGTAAAGAGCTGAGAATTTTGATGTTATAGACCCTTTGTCAGTGAAAAGAAAGAGATAGTGGGTTGTATGTGGCTAAGATATCGATTAGTGTGGAGAGTACGCTCTTGATATTAATTTTAATAGAAAGCATTTATTGTGATGAGTTTTTGGGGATAATAATTCAAAGTGCAATTATAATTTTATTTAAAAGGTAAATTTTCACTTTAGATTCTCATAGCTTTCTGTGTTGCTTTGATCCAGGGAGAGACTATGGATGGATCACCGTGTGTTGACTGGAATGATCTGGAAGATAACAATTTAATAGAAGATTGTTGATTTTTTTACTGATATTTTTTACCTGCGGGAATGTAGATACAGTCCCCTGGGCTGAGTGTAGCATATGTCCATGGAACCTTAGCTACATGTGGGAATTTCACTAAGTCTACATTGTTAGGGTCAATTCCAGAAAATGATGATCCTGAATACTCTTTCTGAAAGAAAAAAAATCCAAAAGTAAAGGGTTACCTAGGATGTATGGCCGAAAGTTAATTTCAAAGGTACAGTTCATGTTAGAAAATCAAGAAAAGCTTAAGAATGGAATATAATATTCAGTTTGTGGTACACTGGATTCAAATAAGTCGAATGTGGCTTAAATATAACAAGTAAGTCAAGAAGGGATTTCAACAGTTTAGGAGGGTTTGGCCAGGAAAAGAGGGTAAAGCTTGCCTTAAAAGAGGCAGGTGGGTGTTTAAAGGCTTGAATAAAAGAAGAAACTTATGATGTTTGAGAGTGAATTAGGGTACAGGATGGGTTTGGGTGGGGTAAACCAAGAAGAGAAAATTTGAGGTATGGCCGGGGAAAAAAGGATGACAGAGAAGGGTGAGAGCTGCATTAGGAGGGTTTAAAACATGATATCAGGGCGGGGGATACACGTTGATGGATTTGTCTAAAATAATACTACTACTTTATCAAGAAATAAGTCTATAAATGTTCCTTAGTTCGCCTTAATCTTTTTTTGCATGCACTGTCCCATCTCGAATAGTCTTGCCAGCTGTGGGCAGTGTCTGTGATATTATCAGCTTATTTTAAAATTAAGTTTGTTGTTGTCATTAAGTCTTTCATTAATTACTGTACCATTTCAAAGAAGTACAAGTCTTCAGCATATTTTCTTTCAATCATGATAAAATCTTTACGTCCAGAAACCAGGCAGTGGAGGTTGTGATCTGCATCATAATGGATGACTGAACGTGTTCCTCCAGAGCTCATCCAAAAGTTGGTTTCATGAATGTAGTCAAGGAAAGAACCACACAACAAACAGTATGGAACCTGTGTGAAGAGAAATTTCTGAATGGAAGAAGGAGTTTAACAGCAGAGTGGCACCTGGTAACCTTGTTCCCAGGGTTCTCTCCTACCCGTATCTACGGAGCGAGAGACAGAGAGAATCTCAGTAAGAAAGAGAACCTGGGAACAAGGTTGGACACCTGGGTATTTATTTGTAGCCTGAATCTTCAAGGGGCATTTTAACTCCCTCAGTAAGGGAGTAAAAACGACTCGAAGTAATTGTCTGAAATTCAGGCTAAATTATGTGCTATCTGTGAAGGATAATTTGTGCATTTAAAATGATTCCTTTGCTCTCCTTGGAAAAAAAACTTTTTAACACAATTTGAATCATTACATCCCAGTCTCCTGTCCAAACTCTGGAGTTCCAAAACCACACCCCCTTTGACCGCGGGACCATTCAGGTCAGGCTTGCGCTATTTGTTTGATGGAAGAAAAGTTTAAAATGAACATTCAAAACTTAGTTTACCGGACAAGATGCATTCAGATAAATAAGGCGTGAAGGTGTTAATTATGGTGTGAAATGATGGAAATTAAAATTTTTACTTATAAAGAGCTACAACCTGGTTACCTGGATTTCTTTTCTCATAGGATCTGGTAGAAGAGTAACAACGTAAATATCTTCATGTTTGTACCGAGACAGAAACTCGGAGATGTTCATTCTTCTAGTCGAGTGTGCCCTGTCTTCTTCCTTTAACTCGATTAGTACGTCTAATTCACCGTAGCTATCTCTCAAATAATCATCATTTATCCAAGTATTTAAAGCTGGTGATTTTCCAATTCCTTGGCGGAGCACAAGCGGAACAGAAAGGTTCACATGCTTTTCCCAAAACTCTTCCGGTCGGACAGCCTCAGTGTACTCTTTAACTGCTCCACTGGGAGAACGTTGATGCCCAAGTGGCTGAAGGTGTCCAGTGAGAAAGTTTTTATCCTCAGACATAATAATTCGCGGAGGGAATTCGGGAATACTTAGACTGATGAGATTGACACGACACAGGGTCAACACAGTCGACAAAAAGGCACGAGTAAAGTAGTTTTTTGCCAGCATGATTTCTCAAGAGTCTTGAGTCCTTCTTTGAAGATCAAGGAACAACATAATACTAAAATTTCCACCTGCAGGGAGACAACACATTGATGATTGTTGGATGATTAGCTGCACAATGCAAGCAACAGCATCTGTTCACAGTGTTTAGCTGTCAATCAGGCCTGGCTGACAATAACAATAATGTAGCTTACATAATGTAGCTTACATGAAAGGAAACACGATCTTAGTGTGGGTCGGTACTTCACTATATACATATGTCTCAGGACATTATACGTAAGGCTTACATGAAGTAGTAACCTTAGTGCGTGACATTTCGTCGACTTAAAAAATCCTTCGTTTGAAGTCGTTTTTTTTGGTCTCATTTTTGCATTAAGTTCTTGGCTAGACTACACAAACTAGGAAACTAAGACATGTTTTTGTATAAATGTTATCATGTGGCTTTAGATGATTCTACTTTGTATCACATAACATAGTACCCGGGGGAGCACTTATGGGAAGCTTCGTAGTGGTGTACTTTACTTCTGAGGCCTCCTAACCCCTGAGACCATTTTCCCCTTGCTCAAGGCTTCTTGTTCAGAACTTCTTAGAAAATCTGTTCAAGACTCTTAGTAGGGAAATTGTACACCCTGTTTAAGACTCAGTCTATAACCCGAAAATCATAGTCTGTTCAGCACCTCATAGACGTTTTTGTAGGGCTTTATAGGTGAAGTCACGCAATCGTCGACCGAGGTGGCCTAAAGCGAGAAAACTGGAAGACCTGTGAGCCTTTGGAACTGGTGGGAAAAAATTGCGGGCACCGTTGATGTTCACAGAACGATGCTGTCTTCTACGGCCAAAGTAAATCCTGATTTAGCCCTAGAGCGAGAGAAGGCCTCTTTTAACCCGATTGAGCTCAGTTACCTGCTTCACGGCGGACGGCAGAAGATCGAGAGAAAAAGATACCTGGGTACTGTAATTTACGTAATCAGCTTTCTTGGATATTTTGCAAAAACCTGCAACGTTAACTCCAGTTTTCGGAAAGTCAAACACGCTCGCTCATTATGAATATCTGTTATACCGTTTCTTGAAAACAGGTGGCGGGCATACGAGCATTGATTGAGTTCAAGAAAGAAAAGTCATCATATTTTTGTGTACAGATCACAGCTACACTCACAGCTGTATAAAATTGCAAATGTTTTGCCGACGCTCATGTGAAGCAAATTTTCCATAAAGTACCATTTAATGAGCACATTGAATTCTTTTAGTTTTTCATCTAATTTCTGTCTTTTTATCATTCATTTTAGTCTGTTTTTAACCAATTTATTATTGTGTCTGTTGGTCATTCAATTGTGCCTGCTTTTGTTATACAGTTATTTACGTCTGTTAGTCTTGTTATGTAAGGGCTATTTACATGGAGGGAGGAAGATCCATTGTAGTACTAGGCAGATCCTAGAAGGCAGAAATTAATTTTGGTCTGTGTGGTGCCCAAGCAGAGAAGGAATTAATGATGGCAAGCGACAAAACAAAACTTCAATTTGTTTGGGCCCTTCTGCTCTTTTTCTGGCGTTTTAAAATAACTACCTTTCAGCAGAATTATAAACAATTATTGGATGAGGTTTTTGTGATATCCGGAATAATCAAGGTCGAGGTAAGTGTTATCAGCCGAAGCCGAAGGCTGAGGCTGATAACACTAACCGAAACCTTGATTATTCCGGATATCACAAAAACCGAATCTAATAATTGTTTTATTATACATTGTTTTGAAGAAAATAACGACAAACGCGTTATCGCAGCGATCACAGTTTATTGCTGTCCGTGCACGTGACATTGCTCTTGGAAATCATGCATTGCGTGCGCAACCTACAGATTATTCACTAATCTGTAGGTACAGATTAGTGAATAATCTGTAGGTTGCGCTGTTTCCCAGAATTAACTGTAGGCTTTTAGCAAATGAGAAGACAGATGGTGACTACAATGTAGAATAATCACAATAATCAGGTCTTGGTAATGCCAAATGAAATGTTCAGCCTTTATTGCCTATTGCAGTGATTACCCACTGAATGACCCACTGCTATTTTTGTCTGATTTGTTCCCCTTGATGACTCATTTTTCATGCAATTTTGCCAGTCTGCATGTCGTGGCTTGTTGCCATGATTTAATTGTTCAACCTCAACTGATCACTTTTTTCTGAACTTTCGAAAGCATTGTTGAATACTTACAATGACAAGTGCATAAAAGGAGGTAAAAAATGGTGTCTAGATTGATCATTGATGTGAGTGAAGGGGTGGTAGATAAATATGTAGCAATAAATGGCAAATCTAAATACCTATTTATATTATGCACAGTTCACTTTGTTCTAAATATATATACTGAACACCACAACTCCTTCATCTATAAAACAGATACCTCTGTAGTGTTTGCACTTTGACTGTATGAAGTTATTTCATCTTAATTTTTTCTTTCCTGCTTGCATAGTCTCCTTTGAAGAAAAATTGGGAAGAGGAGGGAAACTCTAATTCCCTCTTTTCAGTTTTTTAAGGAAGATCATGGCCTGCATAGCATGACGATTTTGTCAGACATACTGCTGAGCAACAAAGCCATGAAATGGCGTGAAGCCGCAAAAGCATGTGAAGCTGCAAAAGTATGCGAAAGAGTGACAAAGTCATGAGAAAAATAAAAACTATTGCTACCACCCCAATATCCTCATGGCAGTTTTACTGCCCTTGCCTACCTTGGCTTGTTTGTGTGCCTGACCAAAACCACTATGCTACACAGGCTAGGAGGATTGAAAGAGGCTCTGCAAACAGGATAATTATTTATGATTACTCAGAACATTATTTACGTAGCTGAATTCATGTATAAGGGTGGCAGATATAATTATAGTAACTAGTAAGAAAATTGTGGGTTTTGGAAACAATTTCATCAAATCTTCAAAATTTCAGAATGGTTTGCAGTGAGTCTTGAAGTCTTGTTTTTTTTAGTTTCCTAGGTGTCTTGTGGTTAGTCTTGTATTCTACCATTTAAAACCCTTACCGAATTTGCAATCAACAATGACTTGATGTGTCATTCACATGGTGCAGGCTGTTATAGCAAAACAATTTCTAGCGCTGTACTGATCTGAGAGGTCATATAATATTATCCTGTATAATGTCTTTCCATCCTTTACATTTTTAGAATCCTTGCTTGTGAAGGATCCCATTTTTAGCAAGGAAGATGCATATGTTTGTGATCGCAAGCACCAGTATGAAAGGTCTTGTGAAAAAGGGCTGCGGATGTTAGAACTACATAAGGAGTACAACATTACTAATGAAGATGACATTCGCATGTTGAACAGGTACATTATTTTTTGATTAAATTACTCTGGTTTTTACTGCTTGGTAAATATAATTAAGCTATTATGTTACAGCGAACTCTGTCTAAAACAGACACCTTTGCAGTGACCAGAACTTATAAGCAGGGCTTGAGAAAAGCCCTGTCCGATAGTCCCACTGGGACAAGTAGATTTTCTTGCTGGGAAAGTAAATTTTAAAGCTTACTTTCGTGATGGGTAAGGATCCAGGCATGCCATCCTCTAAACAAATCATTCACTAAGTCAAACAAGAAGTGGCTCTGAGCGGGCAAAATGTGAAAGCTGCTTGCCCAAAGAACAAGCTGGAAATCAAGTTTTTTTAAGCCTTGACAAAGTCTCCATATTAAAGAGGTGTCTATCTTACAGAGAGTCAATTGCAAGTAAAGGATGTAAAGAAAGGCAGGCTGACCAACTCTAGGTGTCCATTTTACAAGGTGTCCATTAGGAGAGAGTCAACTGTATTATTTTTTACAACATAGTCAGTAATGTAACCTTAAACTTCCTCTGAGAGGGGAAAAACAATGACGCAAAGAAAATTCTTTACCTCATTGTTTTTATGGTGTCACTGTGGCTACAGCAATGTAAGGCTGATACTAGGTAGAAAAATTGTTTTTGCAAGACATCAATATGGACACCAAGAACTCAAGGGTGTGGCTAAGGAAAAACTAAACAGGGTTCTAGCCATAGCACTTCTATGCAACTGCACCTTCAGAATTACCCCACATCAAAGGAGCTGGATATTACCATCTTCCCAGCATGCTTTGTGCCTATTTCAGGGTGATTGTTTCCGCCCTGTGTGATGAAAACATGAATTTTACCTAAAGTTGCGGGGACATTCGCCGCTTTAAGGGTGAGATTTGGAGGTAAAGTTCTAGGTCTTTACCTAATTTTTCATCTTCCATCTGGATGACAGAATGATTCCTTGATTAAAGTATCCTGTTTTCTTAATGTTCTCTGTAAGATTTGACTGTGTGACCTTTCTCTCCTTATACATCGCTGCTTATCTGTTGTATGCATGGTGTTTTTGAATTACCGTAAAATTCCGAAAATAAGCCCCAGGGCTTATATTTTTCAAAGGCCCTTTTTGAAGGGCTTATTTTTGGAGGGGCTTATATTCGGAGGGGCTTATGGGATTCGGCTGTTTGATAATATAGTTTGATCACAATGCATGACAGGAATATGGTAATATCCTCCGTTCCCCACGTCTTGAGTAGCTGGCTCCTAATGGGATAGAGAATGTGGTACAATAACTGCACTGCATATAAAAAGTTATTGATCTTTCACATTTTAAGTATTTTTTGTCAACTTCTCTCTAAAACTAAATAGTTGTGAAATTGTCATCAATTATTACATTTTTGTTGGTGACTACTGTACATTATTTTTTGGTTCAAAATGGATAAAGTAAAAAAGTGTCTGTAACTTTTATGGTCAGTACTACATTTTATATTTACACAAGGTACTACACTTTGAGCCATGAAAGATTAACAAAAAAATGTTTTTAGTCTTTCAGGCACATATTTTCCATATGCTCTGAGCAACACAATGTTTATTCCAACAATAAAGGTAGGCATGTACAAGATAAATCAGTGTCTTAACCTCAATCAATTAAAAATCAATTTTGCTTATAATTTATTGTGAAGAGTACAATTGAAAGTTCTATTAACCATATACTGTTGCACTGTTGATGTGAAATAATTATATGGGTGCATGTATTCCTGGTACAGTTGTAGCTCAGGGACTGGCTTCCAGAAAAATTTTGATTCCAAACACACCTTGATTTAACAAGTTCAGAGGGTGGAAGTCAAGTTTTAGTTTGTAGTGCAACCTTGGCAAGACTAGCTCGATCATGCCCAGTCTATATTGCAGTTGACTGCAATGCATGCAGGAGTTAATGTTTATAGGTTCAATCTGTTGGGCTGGGCCAATACCTAATAATGAAGATTCTGCCTTTGCTGGGCTGCAAATGGCTAGACCTTCATAATTATCTTAGATGACTACGTAAAATGATGGCCCTGTGTCCAGTAGGAGATATATAGAGATTAGTATATAAATTGATACTCAAATAAAGAGTGTAGATGTTTGCAGTTTCACTGGTCAACCTAACTTTTCTCCTTTCTTATAAATTTGTTTGTGGTATTCACATAATTTTTGCCACTGATTTCTTCCAGCAACTGTTGTCCACTTATTAATTTTTTCTCAACTGAATGGTATTTACAGAGTCAAGGGACCCCTGAACAAAAAGCCAAGTGGCTTCCTCTGGCAGAGTCTTACCAGATCATTGGAACCTATGCACAAACTGAACTAGGCCATGGTAACAATTTTCAAAGTTTATTATGAATTATTAATACATCTCAATAAACTGTCTTTGAATATATGAAGAAAATTTAATGAATAATTGATTAAATTTGATTCTATAGCAAAGGTATTACAGTCAAGCCTCCATATGTGCGACCATCTAATTGCCAATCCAAAACACCAAAATTTTCCCAGTCAAAGCCTTACAGTTGGAACCTCTAGTAAATGACCGCCTCCTGTAAGCGACTGCGACCACTTTTTGAGCCTGACAGTTGATAATTTTCCATTGTTTTGAACCTCTTGTAAGCGACCACTTGGTGCATTCTCTGATCTCTGTTTTTGCTGCATGCACTATGTTACTTAGAATATACAAAGCACTTTAGTGATAACATGGAACTCCACATATCCTAATGCAACATTGCCTGCAATATATTATTCTCCATAAAGTAAATGTGCCTGGACCTCTTCTCGGAAGAGAGCCCCCATGGTTCAATTCTTGTAAACAACCATAAGCGACCACTCAGTCTTTGCATTTTAGGTGGTCACTTACAGAAGTTTCGACCGTGTAAGCACTTATAATGGCCAACTTTGACTTCATTAACTTACTGGCAAGTCATAGTTTTGGAATCTAAAATAAAATTAATATTGGTTAGGTGCTCTTTCATTAATAGAGAAATTGAAAATATTTTATAACTTTTATAACACTGGATAGCACTATCCACCACATAAATCACTACCCAGTGGTTGACTATCCGGAAAACCAACTGCATTATTCAGTGCAGCAGGATAGTGATTTATCCAGTAGGTAGCAGGGCCAGATGGTTATCAGCCACAGATTGAATTTTCCCTTTTTTAATATGAAATATTTTTGCGTGGTAATTAGTTCTCTAAATTTTAAAGTTGTTAAACACTGTTTGCACAGGTACTGTAGCCTTGGGGAAGGTTAAAAAAATTTTAACCTGAAATCAGATTTGACTTGTGACAAAAATATGCATTTATAACACATGTCTTAGAGACCAGGCTACCTAGTATGTTTGGGTGCATCTTTCTTGTATGAGTGAAAATAGGAATTCACTGTAGTTGAAGAAGCAGAATAAATTATCACAATCATATATAACAACAACAATATAATAATTTTTTTAGGAACTTTTATTCGAGGCTTGGAGACAACAGCAACCTATGATAAGAAAGCTCAAGAATTTGTCATCCACTCACCATCACTTTCGGCTTCCAAATGGTGGCCAGGAAACTGTAAGTTTTTTGGACATAATTGCAGAATTTATGATTGCACTTGCTGTACATTTAAACTGTTCAGATACATCTGACAGGATCCCACAAACTGCTACATATTCTCTCAAGCTTTTTTACTGAAATTTATGAAAATAGAGAAAAAGAGATTATCAAATTTTCAAAGAGTGAAGGCGACATGGAACTGAACAGTATTTTATTCCAGGTCTCTAAGGTTACAACACTCCAATTTCTCTAAGATTACACAGTATTTTACAGATTCTGTAGACTCACAAGGTTCAAATTCAACATGATGGCTAACAAGAACACAACACATTTTTCGGATCTCCACAAGGAGGCCTAGTGAGCTCCTAAAGCCTTAGGTCAATGTGCACAAAGAGTGTAGTCTGTTAAAAAACAATCTCAGTAGAATGAGAAACCTCTTGAGAATTTTGGTGTTTATGGAGAGAAGATCTGTAACACAAGGCAAAATCTTTCACTCCATACCATCATGAGGTTGCAGTGGTGGGATGGGAACACTGCCTCTGCTATAGTCTGAAGTCACTAAATGTTTCAATTTTTTTTGTAAAGAAAATATTTTGATTTAATTCGTTTCATTGATACCTTTTTTAATAGTGGGCAAGTCATCCAATTTCGCCATTGTAGTTGCAAGACTTATTGTGGATGCAAAGGACCATGGAATACAGATGTTTATAGTTCAGTTACGAGACTTAAACACTCATCAACCTCTGCCTGGTGTGTTTTGTGATATTTTCCATAATTATAGTTTTGTGATATTAAGTTTTAATAAATTTCGAGTCAAGTTGCCTTTAATTTGAGATAATCTGTATTCTATACCAATTAAATTACTCGAAATTTCAACCAGAAAGACAGTATCAATGTATACTATTGTAAGGGTTAGTTAATAAGCAGCCTGTGACCTTCGCTTTATTTTAAAGGATTTTTCAAATGCATGATGTTTTGTGCAATGACCTGACTTGAATTTTTTTCTTGTGTAAGGAATAACTATTGGAGAAATTGGCCCCAAGTTTTCCGGTTCCCTGGACCCAAATGATAATGGATTTTTATTACTTGATCATGTACGAATTCCACTGGATCATATGCTAATGGGACTAGCAAAGGTATGAAATCATTTTACATCTCGTACATGTATAATGCATGTACTGTTAACCACATGTACTGTGCGGTGATTGAACTTCCATCTGCCCCTGCCTCTTGTGAGTGACAATTAAGCTCCCATAAGCAACCAGTTTCTATAGTCATCTAAAATACTCATCAAAAATCTTGAAACACTTGAGTGCATTTCTGCTTCCGCGGTGTAGATCTGGGTATTACAGTCATCTCAGTGCTCCAAAATATGCATGGCTCAACATTGGGGAAGGAGAGGGGCTCATCTCTGAGTAAGAAAAAAGTGCGATGATTGAATGTAAGAAGCAGTACGTGTCTGTTTTAGCGATTTGTGATGAGTATAATGTAGCTTCTATCCGGTCACTTCGTTCCATGGACAGATCATTCCAAGCCAGATCGTTCCACCTTATCATTCATTCTTGTCATTCTTTTAAGGGATCTCCAGTTGATGAAGCTTATGTCTACTGTCAAGTAATTTTATTTTTATTCTTACCTTTAATTTCCCAACAGCTTTCCCCTGATGGTACCTTAACAAAGCCAGCAAACTCCAAACTTCTTTACGGAACAATGAGTTTTGTACGTGCACAGATTGTTTTCTCATCTTTTCAATCATTATCACAAGCACTGACAATTGCTATACGTTACAGTGCAGTAAGAAGACAAGGCAAGCTAAAACCTGGGTAAGCTTTCTGTCAACTGTCCAACTTATGATTTGCTGGGAACCATATGCATTGTGTTCTGTAGATTAAATGATACAATAATTATTGGTGTAGCCTGTTAAATGTGCATTTCATGTCACATGTGTATTAGAAATTCCTGTAATTAAAATATCAGGCCATGTTCACAGGGCACTGGATGAATTTTTGACCGGCTGAAGAAATTTGACGCGATACTTTTCACACGGGATAGTTCAACTTTTTCGCTCTGTTTACAGGGAACTTTGAATGGCTATAAAGCGTCTAAATTTTCATACGGTTAATTAAGGTGGTTCTCATTGCATGAATGGAACACCTAAATGCACAAATTTTCAACCGATCAAAATTTTCGTCTCGTACCGTGTGAAGCTTAGCCTCATTTTCTTTGCATGAGTACAATGAGCGCTGGAGGCAACTGCCAACATTTTGCAACACCACCATTGGCTTCCCAGTGAAATGACGTCTGAGGACAAGAGCATAAATTCTGTGCTGATGACTTGTCACTACCCAGATTAGCTTCAACCAATCAGATGCCCTGGGTACTCTTCAGTTACTACTTCTGATTGACGTTGGTCTAATAATTATACAATGTACTCCTTGATATAGTAACCTCCACCACTTGATCACGGGTTATATTTCTGCTTGCCTGAGGAAACAGCCAACATTTAAAGACAACACCAGTGGTTTCCCCACAAAATGACGCCTGAGCAACAAGTGCAGATGACATGTCACTACCCAGATCTGGGTACCACCGCGGTCAAACGTCTAAATCGTTATTTTTGTTTTTTATTGCTGGGATTTCATTTACCAGTTAGAGAAAAATGGGCAAAGATGTATCAATCAGTTAGTCAATATAACTATCTTTCCATTTTTCTCAAAATTTTTTGAACTTTTTCGCTGAAAACACTTCGCGCTAAAAGAGAATCATGTTTGAAAATGGCGCCAATAATAACGTCAGCATCGGTTTTCAATCACTTAGAACTTTTTTAGTAAACTTTTAAAAAGTTTAGTAAACTAACAGGATGTTGGTAATACCCTAAACGTTCGATAGTGAAAGTAGCAACCTTAACTTTGAAGTATTTCGCTTAACTTTTGCAAATTTCACTCGTTTGACCACTGTGAAGATCTGGGTATGCCCCTTGCAAGCTGAGTGATACCTGAAAGATTACTGCAGCCACCTTACACTAAGACTAAGTACACTGCTACATCAGTTACAAGATGTAAATAATTCATATTATTTATAAATCTTTTACGTCAACAGTGATTCTGAACTACAGGTTATTGACTATAAAACTCAACAGTACAAACTGATACCAGGATTAGCGATGGCCTATGCTACAAGATTTGCGTTTGATCATGTTTGGAGTTTGTACCATGAAACTCAAAAACAGATAAGAGCTGGAAATCTCTCCATGCTTCCCCAGGTAAAGGCAATATTTTTTGCCACATTAAAATTGTAATTGAAAGACATAAGGATCAACCTTTTGATTTGCTCTTTTAGGTGTTTTTGTTTATTAACGTTTGCCTTTCCGGGATAATGTCACAAAACTGTGAAAGGTTTGAACCCAAGAGTCATTTCAAAAGTAGGTTGAGTATGATCATCCAGGTGAATGTAGTACTGAACAGGACTATTGTTGTTGACAGTGACTGACATTTCGACGACCCTTGCAGTAGTCATCTTTAGAGTAAAAGTGAGTTGGATCAGGTCAGTTGATGGTATTAAACTCTGGTTATTGTCTTGATTGGTCAGTTAAGTCACAATGTTATTGGTTGTCTGTCAGTTAAGCCATGATGTTATAGGCTATGAAAATTTGCTATGTCAACAATAATAACAACAACAACAGTCCTATTCAGGATTACGTTCACCCAGACGATCATACAAGTCATGTACTCAACCTACTTGACCCTACTTACGGAATATGTTATGTTGCGTTACGTTATGTTAATAACTATCACTACATTTCAACATTTCCCTGTGTTATTTATTTTGGAATAATATCTTGTAGGTTCATGCTTTCACCAGTGGTCTTAAAGCCTTCTGTACGTCAACATCCATGCACCATGCAGAGACATGTCGATTGGCTTGTGGCGGACATGGATATTTACTGTATAGTGGTTTGCCTACGTTGTACTCAATGATAAATGCTGCTTGTACTTACGAGGGAGACAATGATGTGCTTTATTTGCAAGTTGCTAGGTAAGCTGAACATACTTTACATCACATTTTTGTTGCTATTCTGTGCCATACATCTATACCCTGAAGATACTTTGGCTAGTTAAGGATAGCAGCGTGCCCAGAAGGTTTTTACACTTCTTTAAGGGGAAAAGCAAAATGGATCTTGACTGGTTTGTTTACATCTCTTTTCTTCACAGGGACATTTGTAACGCTTAGAGATCGGATCTAGCATAAACATAATTGAATCATTTTGCTGTAGGTTCCGTGCTTTTAGGTTTTCCTATCAAAGGACTTTGATACCAAAAATGAAAATTCTTTTTAAGAATGATATTGAGCCCCTTGAAACTATACAGCCTTGTTCCATGGCACACACAGTGATACCTAGATTATAACTTGCTTATTGGATTACCCTGGCTTCACCTCCCCAACAGACAACTGTCCATTGCAAGAAAATTATTTGTCATTTGGACTTGCCGTTAAGCACATAGACTGTTGAGGTCACTATTTCTAGATGTGGAGCCAACTGGCAGTCCCCCACATTCTTCAGCTCTTACCAATTTATTTTGATTCTCGACTCCAAAGAAATTTGGACAGTCATCTTTGTCTAAAAAGGATACAAACCAAAGAAAAACCTTCAAGTTATACTTATAAAATTTCACTGCTATTTTGAGGGAGACTACGACTGGCTGAATTTAGCCCTGTTTTTGTTTAAGGGAAGGGCGTGGCTGTATACAGGTAGCTGCTGTAAAGTATTTGGTGATAAGGTCTTAAAGATTTAGAAGGGTTGTCATTTGTTATTGTGGATGTTGCAGGTATCTTGTCAAAATTGCTTCAAATCTACGGAAAGGAGAAGCTCCACCCGAATCACTTTCATTCTTCTTGCAAAAACCAGAACTGTGTCCAGCAACAAAAGCCTGTGAATTTCTGGATCCCAAAGTACAAAGACGGATATACCAGGACAGGACCACAAGGTTGGGTATAATTATAATAAGTTCAATCCAATAGCCATTTCCTGTTTTCTCTTTCTGCTCTTTCGACTGTGCCCAGACCATGCAAAATATTGTGCTTTTGCTGATAATTACTTAAGGAATAATAGTTTAACTCTTCTCGTTCATTATTATCTCTCAAATCTGCAGTGAGGTAAAGAGTTTAGCTGAAAAGTTGCAAGACAAAGTAATTTCCGGAATGGATTCTATAGATGCTTGGAATGATACATCGATTGACTTAGTTCGCTGTGCTAAGGTAAAAAAACTTTGCATGATTTGTAGGTTGACTTGTAGGTTTAAATAGTAAAATGACAAATTATTGAACGCCTGTTCTCAAGTACCGTCTGTACAACTTGATGATAACCATGTGGTTTATTAAACTGCGAGGTAAAACAAGGTTAGTGATTCAAAGCAAGAGTCATCATTTGCTGTTCCAAACTCGAAAGTGAAGCTTTATTTAGCGGATGGTTGGGTTGGGAAAATCAGAGCAGGGAAACTTGTTATGACTGTCTATAGCTCAGTTCAACTTATCCACCACCTCCAGACCGCTATATTTTAAGACCCAACCTCGTTTTTTTTACCTAACCCTCGTTTGCCACGGGTGGAGTCAATTAAAGATCATTGAGAGTCACGTTTTTTCATCTGATGATGGCTGGACAGTTGTGGAAGATTGCTGTCTGTAGTGCAAGTTAAGCAAAAAGTAATGAGATTTATGCCAGTACTTAAACGTTAATGTTTTATCAGATTAATCATAGCTGTTTGTTTATCTCTTGGTAGGACTACAGTCACTGTGTCATGGTTATATTTCTGCTTGAGTCGATAGAGAAACTTTCTGGTATCAGTCAAAACTTGCGCACTGTTCTCAAGTCCTTGGCGGATTTATTTGTTCTGCATGGCATCACTGAGAACTCAGGGAGTTTTATTGAGGTAAGAGACATTGAAGCCTCCTCTGTAGTATAATGACGATACATCACAGTTGTAATAGTTTAGTTCTTCTCATCTCAGTGAAAATGAAAACTTGTTAGATCGTATTTACTTATATTTAAACAAGACTAACGAATTGCATGGAAAAGTGCAAACATTCTATTCCAGCAGTACCCACTATTGCATCATGAAGGTTGTTGCTTATTGTACTGGTAAACTGCCCCCACTATATATACTCCTGACATTTTCTCATGTTCATCCCTACTGCCTTGACCGACCCTCCCATGTTGCATCAGATTTGTGTTCTGGATTACACTAATGTAACAAAATCATTTCTCTTATGAAAAAAAATCCACCACAATGCCCACATTAAGAGGTTTTTTTTTGTTTCCTGTCATTTTAGCCAGGAATTCTCAATGAAAAGCAGCTGCAAACAGTCCGTCAGCAAGTGTACAGCTTAATTAATCAACTTAGGTTAGTACAGCTCAAAAGTATACTGTAAAATAGTCATAGACCTGTTTGATAGGTACCTTGTGGCTTATTATCATTTTTGAGCACTGATCTTGTTGTGCATGCATGTTATGTAGAAATGGGCCTTAAAACCTCTATCAGCAAGTGCATTGTTAACGTTATTGGGGGTGCATTTGGAGTAGAATTGACAGAATATCTCTCCATTTCAGTAAGAGCTGCCTTCTAGCCAAGTCAATGTTCTAACTTGAAATTTCTTTTGTTGGCTCAACCTACCTTGTTTTAACAATTTATTGGGGATAGAAAATTTTAAGACTGTCAGGTAACCAAAGCAAAATCTCAACTTTTAAATCCTGCTGCAATGTCCACAGTTTACTGAAATGAAATTATTTTTGCCTTTTAACTTGCAGACCTGAAGCAGTCGCTTTAGTGGATGCGTTTGATTACTCAGACTTTGTTCTCAACTCACCTCTTGGACGCTATGATGGCAATGTATATGAAGCCCTTTTCAAGTATGCTCAGAAGGCAGCTTTGAATGACCGTCAGGTAACTGATCCAAAATATAGCGAAATTAAAAACATAACGCACACAGTCTGTCATATTAATTTTGGTCACTCTAAACTCGATCATCCCACTTTGCTTTTTAGTCACCTTGTCCCTTGTGGTCTCTCCCTCCTTTGGTGTCACGCCATCCTATATCCCATCCTTTGTGGTCACATCATGTTATAATGGTGGCTTTTCTTTATGTTACAGAACTTTGTTGTCACACCATGCTTTATGATAATATAATCCATTTCATTTACAGCATCATTTCCACCATCCTTAATTATCTCACCATGCCCCTTGTTCACAACAAGTCTTCATGTACCACCTATTGAATACTCGCCATGTACGCCTTTGACTTTCGTCATCCTTTATGGTCACACCTTGCTTCATGTTTTACAACTACCTTTATGGTTACATTATCCATTGTGTTTACACCGCCATCCTCTTTGGTCACACTATCCACTGTGTTGTCACCATTGCTTTTAGTCAAACAATTCTTTAAGGACACACCATTCATTGTGTTTACTTGATGCTTTATGATTTAACCATCCTTTCTGGTAAGACTCTCTATTGTGTTCTCACCATCCTTTCTGGTCACGTAAACCCTTCTATTTGCTCAATTTATTATAACCCTCTACGGTCACTTTCTACCTCATAGTCACACCATCCTTTCTGGCCACACTCTCTGTTGTGTTCTCACCATCCTTTCTGGTCACTTTAACCCTTCTAGTCATGCAATTCATCATGATCACACAACCCTCCATAGTTACTTTCTACCTCGTAGTCACACCATCCTTTCTGGTCACACTATCTGTTGTGTTCTCACCATCCTTTCTGGACACATCATTCCTTCTAGTGACACAATTCATTATGATCACATAACCCTCTATAGTAACTCCCTACCTCATGGTCATACCCTACTTTATGGTAACACCATACTGGGTTTCTCTGGAGTCACACTATCCAACCACATTATGTGGTTACAACTCACTTTGAGTCTGACGTGATACAACTCACCAGATGCTCTTGCCACTCACCACTCACTTTGACTCTGAAGATGACTACCGCACAGGTTGTCGAAATGTCAGTCACTGTCAATAACAACAGTCCTATTCAGGACTACATTCACCTGGACGATCATACTCAATCTACTTATGAAATGATTCCTGAGTTCAAGCCTCTCACAAACTCTCCTTTGTTGTTTACACTTTGCCTTTAATTTCCATTTACATCGTCCTGCATTGCTACACCATCGTTGTTAATCATTAGATTACACTTTCCTCTGTGTCTTCCTTTTTCAGGTGCAGCCAGCTTATTACAAATATTTACGTCCCTTAATGCAGAGCCAGAAATCCAAGCTGTAGATATGCACTCTGTTGTGATATTTGGTAGATAAAACACTCTTTGGTTAAGAACCATCTTATAAACCAATACGCCATCAGTAATGTTACCCCTTAAAAATAAAGTACAAATATTGATATAATTTTTATTATAGTGCAGTACAATGTGCTCAGTTAAAGATATGTTACATGTATAACATTATAAGAAGCTTTATCACGATTTTTCAAGGTTTGTTAAATTACAGATTATCAAATTCATTCAAAGGGTGGAGCTGGGCTAACCCCTTGTTGAGAACGAATTCGTTATATCATGGAAAATTGACAGCCATTTTTTCTCTTACATACCCAAGAGTACATAGGCTGTGTCTCTTTTTGGTGAAAAGGGCAAAAAATCACAAGGAGTTTCCCTTTAACTCTATCAGTCATGCAGCCTAAGTAGAAATAACATGCTACTCCATTGCCCTTGTTGTCAGTAAGAAAACATCCTAAGTAGCAAGATTGAGAACATAAGTGATGATTTAAACTCAAGAAAGAGTTCTATAATGGCAATGACAACTGAACTCTCAACTGTACAACAGCCAGCAAGACAAATTTTATTCATCTTTCTTGGTGGTTATGCTACAAACAATGTTTACAACATAATTTATGCATTCTAATTCCATAGGGCCTGGGGCTGGATTCATGGAGACCCCCTTTAACTAAAATTTACCCTGAGTTTTGTTTTCTAACAACAGCAAAATGACAACACTTAACAAAAATCTCAGCTTAGAATTAGCTTGGACCAGATTCACATATCATATAGTAGTAAATCTGGTTTGTCCTACAAAGAGTGCAACTGGATTGTATTTTACTACCCAAAAACCCCTTGGACCTAAATAACATCTATACAATCATACATGTTCCTGTTATTCAAATGTTGGACAGTTCTTTCCACCCGACAAATTAGGAATATCAGCCTTTCTGAGTAAAAAAATTTAGACAGGAACCTATTATTAGTCTTTCAAGGCCTTTTGCTAAGCTTAAGGCCAATGTGAGACATACTGCTATTTTTTAACCATTGACATACAAGTAGAAACTAGTTAGTTTTAGTATTCAGTACTTGTAAAAATTAATATAGGTATTTTTGTTATCAAGTTTTTTTGCCTCACAATAAAACAGTGCAAATTTTTAACATTTGTTTTTGTCATGTTTCATATGTTGTGGTTCAATTTTATTCCTGGTTTACTAACACAGAAAAATACATGTACCAGTAAAATGTAGATCAAAAATAAATTTGAACCACAACGTTAAACAAAGCGGAAAAATACTTTTATGTTTCCCCCTATTTTTAGAAACATAACCTTTTTACTTTGTCTTTCTTTGAGGAAAAAAACTACTGAACACTTAACCCTTTAAGTCCCAATGGTGACCAACATCAATTTTCTCCTAACAATATTCATACATTGTCAAGAGATTAGGTTATGAGAATTAATAATATGATCAGCAAAGAGAAAATACCTTGATCTTTTATCAAATTCTCTTAGCTCATTCTTTAAGGAAAAGTATGGAGACCAGTTTGGAGAATTTGTATGTGGATATTGGGGCTTAAAGGGTTAAAGGTGTTACACAATACCCATGTGCTATCATAGTCTGGACAGACCAGTAGCTTTCTCAAAAAAGATTTTAACTTTCCTACATCAAATTGTAAAACAAGATCGTTTTGTAGCTTAAAAAGGAAACTTTACTTATTTTGCTGAAATGATGAGTGGTTAACATAGGTAAAGGAGATTATGTCTGCACTTAAAGAGTCCTACACCAAGCTTTACTTTTCTTAAACTGACATGACCCTGTCATTATTTTTGCAATTTATTATTTGAACTTCTAAATTTCCAGTATTACGGCCTCTACTGGTTTCTGCAGTATAATAATTATTGTTTGGGTGAATTCCAAGACATCACGTACGGTGCCTTGTGGAGGTCCATCTATTATTTGACACCAGTCTTTCCAACCACCCTACATGTATATCTTGTATGTTCTAGCACATGCTACATTTGAATCCAATGGCTTATCTCTCCACTGAGTTACATTAGTCAGGAAACAATGAATAATTTTAACAGTATTGGCATAGACAACTTCAAACAGCTACATGTATCTATCATTGGTGCTACAAAGTTTTATCATTACAATGACAGTCCAATAGCTACTGTAAACACAAACTACCTAGACCAAGCCCCCTTCAAATGGCAAACTAATGATTAAGTCACATTTGGTGGAACAAATACAATGTAGGCTACTTTAACAGCAGTAGTTTTGTTTAAATTGTCATTACTCCAGGCACATCTTCAGTGACGCCACTTGCAGACGCAGATGGTGGAGCATTTCCTGTCTGTGCACTGTATGAATATGGCGGAGGTCTTTCATGCTCCTTCAATTGTTGCTGTCAAAAATGGCAATAAATTGTTTTAGACCACAAAATCATAGATGTAACTCATATAATTATTTTGAAGTTTGAGCATCCCTCCTCATTACCTTGCCATTAGCAGTTTTGACTTTAATTCAAATGAAGGTTAAAGATTTAAAATAATCGGAGCTCGAACTAGAAATTTAGTCCAATCCCGCAATCTTGAATGTAATCAGGTGAGATGAGGAGCAATGGGAGAAACAGCCTTCCCTTCTCATCTTAAAACATGAGTGTCGTTTTCGTACAATCCATTTTTCCTCTCACCGTTTAATATCTGGTGGATAACTGGAGCTGGCTTGCATACAGTAAGAGTGGTAAAGATATATGTTTTATTTTTTCATTTTTGCTATGAGAATATAACTTGATCTGCCTCTATGTAACCTGTAAACCCAACACCAATGGTTGGGTGTGGGGAAAGAGCCTGGTCAAACGGAGTGCAGAAGGTAACCAACCACCTTAACCCATTTGCTCCTGGAGATTTTGCCGAAAAATGCGTTTTGAAGGTACTCGAGTGGTTTTCTGGTCACTGTCCTGCTATAAAGAGCTAAAACTTACCACAAACCGGTTTACAGGTCGTACACTTCACAGCCTTCTGATCCAGATACAAAATATCAGCTTGCGAAGTTCGGGCATGCGCAGAAAGCAAAATTTCGAGATAGTTTTTGGGTTTAAAAGTGTCACAGCAGTCTTGACTTTTACTTTTCACTTTCTCTCCTCCCCTCTTTTTTCGCTTTTCTTGCCTCATTTTTTTTCCTCTTGCTGGGCATTTAGTAGGCTTCATTTTGGTGGGAATAGTTTTTAGGAAAGCTTTCAGGATCTTAGGATTAGGTGAAAGGAAAGGTAGGTGAGCAATGGAACAAGATTTTCATGGAGATTTTCAGGTCAATGTTAGATGGTTTTTTGCCTCTTTCTCCGGTGTCCTTGACTGAATTCTGCTCATTCTGGTATGGTTTGAAAGATCTCTTCACTCTGCACAAGTTAGCGGACAAAGTTGTCCTTGACCATTAAAACTGATGACGTCACAAAGGGTAGAAAGGACGTGGATCCGCATGGGCGGTTACAGGCGGTTCAGGGGCAAATGGGTTAACATGACTACTACAGACTGATTACCTGATACTGAAGTTGTGCAGTTGCAGTAGCTCCGGAAGCCCCAGCACGAGATGTGGATGTGGCCGAAGGAGCTGGGTTGGGTCCTGATGGCATGACCCAGTAACCTGCTGGCTGTTGCCCTGGTACACCTGGCTGCAGTGACAAAGTTATGAAAAATAATATTAGATGTCATTTATAGCCACAATGAGTTCTTTTTTACATAAAGGAGGTGTTCGCCCATTTCCACAGTTAGAAATCTGTGACAAGAGTTGAATATCAGAATTCTGTCTTAATGTTCAATACCAAAAAAAAAAAAAGTTATTAGTACAAGGTGATTACTAGCTTATGAGACTGTGGATGAAATCCTTTAGATTAAGCATTCAAGTGGAAGCTCTTCAGCTGCCGCACAAGCAGTTGATATGTTTCATAAAATCTTTTAGAAGAGTGAACTAGGTTTCAAATCCCATGATAGAAAAAAGCATATTAAGCAAACACAAGCTTTTGAGATTAAACAACTAGAGTTTTCTTTGCTAATTTTTTTTAAGCCTCATTCATATAAAGATGTGCTTAACAATGACAGAACCCATAAAAAGGTGTCGATCTTAACTAAGGCAGGATTATGTAAATTCAGGATTCTATGGGACCACTCCCAAGTTGCACAAGAAGCAGATGTTCAATATACATGTAAAAAAGTTCTTATTTTTCTCATATTTATTACCTGTGGTGGCATGAAGGAACCTTGCTGTCCTGCTACCATGTAGCCATGAGGGATGGGTGCCATGGCACCATCAGGTTGAATGACAACCACACCAGCTTGGCCTCCTGGGTACATTTGTTGGGGATGCATGTACATTGCTGCTTGATAGGATGGGACCTGTTTCATGATAATAATATCATAGAGTGTTTGACCTTATAACTACACATTTTTAGACATTTTAGATACAGTTATCACCCTCATAGAAGAACAAGTGGATTTTAATAAGAAGATCAAGCTGAGAGTTGCAGGCCACTAAAGCACGATAATATCAATGTTCCAGTTAATTCTTTCAAGCGGGGGGTCGTGTAGACCATCTGAGGGGTCACCAATTGCACGACATGCACTAATTTTTTTTGTTATATTTAACTAACACTTGTATGTCATCTGTCGGGTCAGGAAGCCTTCTTTCTCGGGTCATTGACCCGAGACAGCTGCCCGAGACCCATCGCTTATCTGGAACACTGAATATATCCATAAAACACATTATTTTTTTTTGTATGAGAAGAAAGCGGATGCCAGAATTAGAAAGCAATGGAGATTAGAAACCAATACTAACAGTAATTCATATTTAAAGTACTAAGGTGTGCTGGACCATACAAACTCTAAGAGCCTGCCTTTCTGGAGCAAGCAGCTGGTGGGATATAAAATACTGAGTGACTGATCATGACATTTTAAGTTGTACTGAGTTATGTAATGGTCCGTAAAGTAAGCAAATATTTATTTTTTATTTACTAGCATATATAGTTGTTGAACATTGGAAGGAAAAAATAATGTTATTTTTGAGAGCATCCAATCATCAACTTGTTGACAAAAAGAATTAAACTGAATTCACTTTTTAAGCCTTCATATAGAGCTGCATTCAAATTTCACACTAACCCTGGGTTATAATCTCCCAGCTTTGAACAACTCAGCTCAGGTTGTGATTGCAAAAAATAGCCTGGCAATTTTTAGCCCCCTACCTCTTCCCCTCGCCCCCCCTCCCCCATTCCCCCTTTATAAGAAGTAATGTCAAGTGTAAATTATCTTATTACATGTACAGGTACAGTATATGTACTTACTACATGACCAGAAGATGATTCACCGCAAACAGCCATGCAGCAGTAGATAGACGATGCAAGGGCAACAAAGAAAACCACAAGGGAAAAAATCAGTTGACAAGAACCCAGTCCGGCACCAATTTTAGCTGTGCTGCAATCATAATCGTCATAAGAATGATACCGTCGATAATTATAGCTGGATGTTGGGTAGTAGTCATTGTAGTAGTTGTCATTGTAGTAGTCATCTCTACATTTGCGAATTTTGTTAGAGAATTCAGATAGAGCAATGCAATAACAAATAAACATGGAGGCAACTTTAACACAGCCAGCAATGGAAAATCCCATGAAACATCCAGTCTGTGGACAAACAAAAGCATGTGGGAGTTAATGAAGAAATATAATACTAAGTTGAAAGAGAATGATGATCGAATCCCATTTGGTGGTTTATAACACCAGAGTTTAGCTATTCTATGCTGAAAAATAATAGGGAATATTGGTAATTTGCAAGAAAATTACAAGGCAACAGAGTTTTTGACTGCAATTGGATCATGAAATTTAAAGAACAAGGATATTACCATAATCTAACTGGTAAACATTAACTGAAAAGTTTTGCATTCGCTAAAAGAACATCTGAACAACAAGAACAACAAGAAGACTTTCAAGAGGACATGACCCATTTTCTTCTTCACATAAAGTCAAAAGATAATAAGAGTATTTTGATTCAGAGGTGCTTTATGGGAGAAATGTATAAAATCCAATTTTATAGTGCAAGCAATGCGAAACCATTGCAATAAGGCATCTACATGTAAAAGAGGGTTCTGTAAGTTATAAAAATGCCCAGCATTCTTCGAAGAACTACCTGTATGCTAATCTAATTGTTTAAGGATCAGACTTAGCCCCGGGGGGGGGGGGGGGGGCCCCCCGCAAAAACCCTATTTGGGGATGGGGGGCCCCGGGGGGTCGTGGTTTGGGGGCTTCTGTTTTAAAAGGGGGCTCCAAAAACATGCCCCCGTGGGGCCCCCCAAACCCATGATGGTTTTTTCGGGGGGTCCCCCCCCCCCCCCCCCGGGGCTAAGTCTGATCCTTAAACAATTAGATTAGCATACAGGTAGTTCTTCGAAGAATGCTGGGCATTTTTATAACTTACAGAACCCTCTTTTACATGTAGATGCCTTATTGCAAGCTCCTGATTTAGAACGGGATATCCATCTCAGAGGCGTTTTCTAGAACGGGGTATAAAAAATTGGGGATTACGGCTTTATCTTCTGCTTAAAATTGTTGCTGATTATGAAGAAGCATTTATTTGATGTATAAGTCGAACAAATAAAGAAATATTTTTTAAAAAAAACAGGGCTATTTCAATTTACAAACTTTCTAGAACGGACGGCCCATTTCTAGAACGGGGTATCAGTTTTAAGGCGAATTCTAGAACGGGGTTTAAAAAATGGGCCCATTTCTAGAACGGGGTATCAATTTTAAGGGAATTTTTTTTTAGAACGGGGTGCCAATTTGGAGTCCCGGGTGGCACATACCCACCCAAAAGATACCCAAGTGCCCCCCCTCAGGGACTTAGCAAAGGGAATGCTTACCCCCCAAATTTTTAAATTCCCTGTTTTTGACAAAGAAGAGGTGGAACAGTTTACCTTTCAACCACAGGACTTATTCATTTCTTAGTTATTAAAGGACAGCACACACAAGTCAAGCGCTTGATACACTTACTTTGGCTTTATTTCACGCCGTATGATGAAGGAAAACACAGCCCGAGATATAGCCTGTTCCAAGCGTTCAGATAGTGGAGAGCGGTGCAGAGTAAAGAAAGCGATGAAAAGTAGAGGGGGACTGGGGAGAGAGGTGCGGGAACGCGGCTCTCTCTCCCATTTTTCTCGCCGCCACCGCCCCCTTTCCTAAGTCGCGTGCGTCTTATTTTCGCTTTGCTCGTTTTTTAAAATACGCCCGCACTATACTATCTGAGAGCCTGGCACAGGCTACCCGAGATAGAAAGTGGCGACCAATTGAGGACTAGTAATTTGCAGCTATGCCACTCACATCAGGTGCTTGTTTCAAAATGACTCGATGTTTTCACTAAAGATTTTGCTAATTTATCAAACCTCTATTTAGCAGCCAACCTCCATTAAGCGGCCACTTGCTGGTACCCTAAGGGTGGCCACTTGTCACGGCATCAACACCTGTTTTGTCATGCATTTATCTTGTCGCAATGCACTGTATTCTAGAAACCGAGATATGAAAATCAAAACTTACTAAACATTTGTTTGGTCTTGCATCATCCTTTGCACCAATATACCCCAAAATTCCAGTTATGAGAACCTAGAAGGAAAAATGTTTAATTGTCAGTTCAAAAGTTTATTTGCTGCATTTGTTATTTTCCAAAGATAATGGATGATGATTTGAAATTACGTATAACAATCGTGGCATTTACGCCAAATATCACTAAAAAATTATGTTATTACCATACAAATTTATTCGCCGCGATGAGAGGGAGCAAACTCGACAAAGATGCCTATCATGTTTGCACAGAAGAAAGAAAATTAAGCTTAAATGTCTGTCTTTTCGCTTACTGACACATTATCAGCATATTTTGAATTCTACATACAGTTATTTAAAGCAGACTGGCGCCATAAATAATAAATTACTTTAATTTTAAATTTTAATCAAAACGATGATGAGCGGCAGCGCACGATCTTCAATACATACCCAAGAGCCGACCCATACTCCAAACCCGACTCTAGACGACCAGTGGTTTACAGAAAAAATACAAGCCGCCCCAAATGTGATCATTAAAGCAGCAAACACCATCTGAGTGATGGCTAAACCGCGGAGAGCCGACACTCTATAAACCATGACTGCTTGAAAAATGGCGACAACTGTTTTCGACAAAAAGGAACAAGGAAGTGGAGTGTATAAATAAATATTTACGTCACACTTTGTACAAGCGAGAAGGGAAGTGGTCTGAGCGCTGGCTCATTTTCCGAACAGCGGTAATCGAGCCCAAGAAGGTAGGTATTTCATATATGTTTCCTATAGTGTAGGCCAAGACACACAAGTAGGCCAAGACCGGCCAAGACACTAAAGTAATCCAAGACACTCAAGTATCCCAAGACACTGAAGCAAGCCAAGAACCTAAGTTAGCCAGGTACCTCGGTACACTAGAGGAAAGACTGCACTATAACCTAAGAAACTATCGATTCTTCTGAGTTTCTACTTTCACAAGGTATTACAGTACCTGAACACCTTTACATAAACAAATTTTTGGTTCGAAAGGGTTCTTCGTTTTGCGAGAGTGGACGCTGGAATTTCCAGGCTTTTGCGTGACGCGGCATTTAGCTGGCGGCCGGGAAAGCTCTTACGTGGATTAATTGTAACATTACCGATTTTGGGAGATTTTGCAATCTAAATATTCCTTGTCGCAGAATTAATATTA